GTGATAACGTAGCCAAAATGACATAACTTGTGTTCCGAACAGGAATCTGGAAAACTTACGCAGTAAATTTGTTGATCTAATAGTATCCAAAGCAGTGGCAACTGGACAAGTTGCCGTAATCAGCAGTCATCTTTTGTGTACCCATCCTGGACATCCATACAATGATCGTACAAAGGATAAATATCTTGTAAATTAGGCAAATACTGACCATTTTTGGTTAACTTGTGGAATTTATAACCCCATTACACATCACACCATACTTCATCTGATTACTCATATAATCACACTATCAACCATTTCGAATCTTATCAGTTGACGTACTGAGTTTTGGCATACGATATTCATCCGGATGCGTAAACGTGAACTCCGTAGAAAAAACTAATCGTGCTCAACTGGCAGGCAACACCTACAAACCAGGATAGAAACCCGGTTACGTGGTAACTGTCACTGAGCTTCTGTTCTCCAAACTTAGCGCTATGAACATTACGCAGCTTACTTCCAAACAGCAAACTATATATGTTAATAAAGGAAGCTACTCACAAGGTTGCTGAAAACTCTTCGACAGCCCACGGTCGGTTTCGCCCTTGTTAGGACTCATCAGGTAGGCGCAGTCCCCGAGTTTTCGTAAAATTTATGTTCTGCTTGAACCCAAATTGGATTGTTTTCCAGAAATACACTCATTTGCAAATTAATTTAGTTTTCACGAGAGACTCAACTGAATCTCTCGTTTATGATATTCTACAACTGAATGTGCTGCACACAGGCCGCCTCACTTTTCAGTTGGCACGATATTCGAGATATCGCAGTTTATTTTCAGTAACCTTGTGAGTAGTTTCCTTTATGACACTATATAATTTTATCTATCTGTAACTTATTAATGCTTTCATATTTATGGTTGTAAACTGTCAGAGAGCCACACAAAACAGTGACCATTTGCTCTTTCGTTAATCTGATGACGTCTCCGAGTATGTTCCTGAGTTAGAAAAATAAAAGACGTTATTAACATTGACGGAAAGCGCAAAATATAACCTGTGGATAGTCCTGGAACAAAATCAAAGCTTGCCACGGGATTTCTGATGCACCAGCCGTTTCCCACCACCCGATGGTATCGTGCATTTCATGGAAATGAGATTATGTGGTGTCCCCATTCAGCTTACTAGAGAATCAGCGGTCTGCGTGACACCTGCTACCGTACCATTTGTTAAAAAGGTGGCTAGCTTGGCGATTAATTTGCAAACATTTCGTCACCATTCGAGGAAACCTTTTCAGCGCACTGAGTGTGGTGTGAAAAAGACTGTCAATATGCTGAAAATGTATTGTTAGAAGTGCGCTTGAAAAAAGTGGAAAACAAAATTACGACAGAAGATACTTGATATGGCTATCTCGACTATGCGCTTTGACTACAAATAAATCACGAGTAAACGGTCCTGGATGTTCATTGGATACGAAAATAGTGTGTTAGTCCTTTCACTACTTGACAACAGTTTTGGGGGAAGCCAGAAATGCAAGGACCGTTGGGGCATATTAGGTTGCAAATGTGACGAGATATTCTACGGCCCGTGCTGCTCTCATCCATTGAATAGAACGCGCGTAACACAGTGTGAGCTTTGTAAACATGTACTGCGAATGAGAGAAATGGTTTAATCTCCGAGCGAAAAACCTGGAGAAGAGCCTATTCCAATTCCGTCAACTGTTGACTACAAGCATTCGGTATTATATTCTCGTCACAGTTGTCATACAAATGCGTTTAACATACTGTACTAACCTTATTTCATTGAAAGAAGGCTTGGGAGATCATTTTACGCATGGGGCTCGTTAGCTATCTACGAGTAAAAGTTCTGGTTGTTGGATACACCAAAGACGAAGTAGCTTCGGTTAGGAGTAAGTCCAAACTACTGATGATGCGAATAGTGGCCTGCAAGTAGGGCCGGAACACATAATGGTTGTATCGGAATAACTTCAGCCACTCTAATGTTAGCGCATAAATTTCAGTTTACCGAATGTCCTCGAGGTGTGTTCTGTTTGTCTTTTGACTTTAAAGGAAGGGTTGTAAGATTTAAGCATAGTGCGGACGGTGTTTAGGCATTGGTGCTGCTCAGCTGATCTTTTAGTGTCTGATGGAAGGTGATGATTTGTGTGCTGGAGTAGGTTGACACGAATTCCATCAGTGTACTGTATCGTTGCATAGAGTAGTTCCGAAACACTTGGACTGACAGTCAAATTTCGTCCACGTGCTTTCCAGTTTAGATTTTTTGTCATCGCACTCTGCTTGTCACATTTGTTGTCACTTAATGTCTCTAGAAAATCGGAACGATTTCCGGAAAATGATTAAACAGTTCCAGTGGACCTTGTGCATAATCGCCTCACTGATCAGTAATTCGGACACCTCATTTGAAACAAACGATTCCTCCCCGCACAGAACTGAACGCATTATATACCTAACCCCTAAAGGTTTTGCTTCTCGCTTTAATTAGGTTCTTTCGTTGAAAACGACCGGCATTCGAGTCTGTACTGGATTTGCAGTGCCAACTCATTTGACAGTATAGTGATGGACACGGTCAAACAACACCAAACCAACCCAGACCATGTCCGACAGCGACCTTGTAGCCACTGACTGCATGTGTGATCGATTTTACTCTTAGCACTAGTCCAATCGTATCCGATAAACCGTTTACAGTGATCGTCAAAATGAGTTTTAAAATTCTGTAACTGAACGTTAGTTCAACAGGGAAGTGAGAGAGATAGTTGAAAATATGAAACCGAAATCCTGGTCGTCAGAGGGACATTGCTAATACTGTTGATGCGTTTTGACGAACGCATCCTCGTTTTTAAACATCCTACTCAGCTCCGTTGACTCACCGCCTACGATGAGATCGTCACTACAGGTTCAGCCCACTTTAGCGTTTCCCTCACTCACTGTCTTTCTGGATACCATTGGAATCGAAATATAGAAGTGAACAAGCAAACCACGGAAAAGTATGACAGCACAGTTGACCTTACACTGGAGTGCCAGACAGTAATTCGATCCCCCACCGCTAAGTCCCTAATAGAAGGTCGTGATATTAGCGAAGTACACTCACGTGTAAATTAGCTTGGTGTAAACGGGATATTCAACCGAATTTCAGCTAAATCTCTCGTTTACAATATTCAACGAAATACTATGAATCGAGGATGACTTGTGTTTGAGTTGAGCCGGTATTCAAGGAATTGTAGCGTACTTTATTGATGGAAGACACCATTCCTAAGGTTGTTGAAAATTCTTCGACAGCCAACGACACTTTTGCCCTTTCTGGAGCTCACTATTCAGATGAAGTCCCGGATTCTCGACGAATTTATCTTTTACTTGAACAAAAAAGTGCACTCGATTAACGAAGTCTACTCGTTTGTCGGTTGTATTACTGTACACATTGGTTCGGACTAGTTGACAGAAACTCTTGGAAACGCGAAACTGATAGTATGTTGGTGAACGGTTTTCACCAACTTTAAAGGCAGCTTGCTGTCATGATAGTACTTGCTACGTCGCGCAGCACACATACTAAAGAAACGTCAGCGAAAGAAACACAAAGATATTCGAGGTTTGGATTGGTGAAGCACTGGAGCAATGAGAGAGGGACCCTTCGGTCCCTAAGCAATAACTTAGATCCTCGAGTGCATTCGGTTTGCTTATACAGTTATTTCCTCATTAGCTTAGATCATCGGTAATTTGTGTGAAGTAAGTTTTGTTACCGTTACCCATTGAATAACACGTTGCAAGTTTCTCTTGATAAGCAGAATGGCCATTTTCCCTTATACATGGCATTTTAATCAACTGATGTAGGCTTTTCTTACCTAGGAAAACTTGCGGTGTTCTTCTATATAGCGACAAAGTGCAAGAATGCATATAGTTTTTGAAACGAACTCCCTCGAATCCTTACAGAAAACAAAGGCTAATAGCAATGTGTATTCCCCGGCTGGCCTTCTCTGCATGCTCTCCTAGTCAGGCCTCAGCGACATACAAAGATTTGAGATATGAAAGATCATCCAAAAAACGACAGCTGACGAGGAAAAGCCTAATCGGATCTTATTCGTTTTCGTTCTGGATTGGTGGTTTGAGAACATGACATAAAACTGTAAAACTGTTGGTGAAAAAAATTGTCTCATAAACTGTTGATCACTGCAATTATACCCGGTTTTTTAACAGTAAATCTTTGGAACTACCTCTTTTCCGTATTTTCCACTCTGGCCATGCAGAAACACTGACACAACCTAATTGCTAAACACCTGTTCTCCTCAAAAGAAAATAATTCGAAGATTTGGAACTGGGTCAGCTTTTGGATTGTACTCCCTGGAAACGGAACGGTACTATATATCATTCTAGTTGCTCTATCCCTCAGTACACATTACAGAAGGGCATGAAATTGCAAGCCTATCTGTGCACGTATTTGGTTGTAGTCTGCTGTGGAAAACTCAATTGCTTCCTTTGGTTTAGTTGCACCCATCCTGAATACCACTATGTTGGTACGCACGCTCCTGAATAATAGCCTGAATTTCTAATCTAAGTAGAACTATTCTAACGGTTGATAATACTTTATCGTCAAACATCCACCTGTATGCTGCAAAAATGTAGGTGTATCAGATCGCACAACGACCGTTTTCCTTTAAGCAGTACCATAACGTATAATTTTTCAGACGTACGGTAGGAGACTCGGGATTTGAGGCCTCCAAAGGTGAAGAGATTAATGTAGCGAGTAGTTCATTACGAAAACACATGCATCGCGATACCTCGAATATCGTAGCAACTGAAACATGAGGCGGCCTTGTGCTGCACATTTAAGTGCCTAGAAACATCACAAACGAGAGATTCAGCTGGGTTCCAGGTGAGTTTCTCGCAAAATCAAATTAGTTTGCAAATGAGTGCATTTTGCCAACATGTAAACTTGCTTGCTTAGTTGATCATAAAATTTTTCCCGTACTCTAACTGACCTGCCATTCAAGAATTGATGAATAAGGAGACCAAGGTAAGTGACTCATACTTTGGTATACGCATTCCTGGCAAGTACAATTCATGTGGGAATCCGAATGCAGAGGTAATTTGAAAGCAAACGTTTTGTACAATGGACCTCAGTGGAGCTAAGATTGTCTCGTGGAAGCATGCTGTTGCTACACGAAAATCTGTTTTGTATTAGTGACTTTACATGACTCATTGTTTATGAGAATCAAAATTTACGTAATCTGTCCAATAAGCGATTGTGTGGCGTTCCGTTGTTATTGTTGATAGTATAATTCAGCAGATGGAAGCGGGAATCGATATGTGCCGGATACCAAAAAATCCTTTCTGAGACAACAGACCTCGGATGTAGCATGATCCCTTGCTCTTGAGTTCGCTAGAGATTGTAATGTGGTCTCAAGTAAACGAGATTCCGGTTTGCACATTTGATTGTATGGCATGAACAGAGATCCAAAAGACGCTGTGAGGACTTCGGTATTTCCGAACGACCTCCATTCACGAAAGACAACTTCATTGAAATCAACTGCCTTTTTCTTGGGCATGAAGATTAAAGGCTGATGGTTGATTTACAAAGTTGAACAATTGATTTTGCGCTAACTGTTGAGCATTTTGATGCTGGTTGAGCGTCGAGTGACCTTGAAGATGAGCGGAATTGTGCAGACGGTTTAGTGTGGCAGACATAGGAAATTCTCTGGATGTTCCACCGTCTGACTTATTCCCAAGTAGAGGGGACATGACGCTGCCACTAATTTGTCCACGTATTGCGGTACCATGACCGCCAAGTGTAGATGTTATAAATGTAGGCCTGGGGTCCATCGTTTGGGTGCTGATGAATGAGGAATTGGTGGAGGCTGGAACTGGTGGGAGTGGCATGCTTGGAGGAGACAATATAGATGGAAACCGAGGTACGTCATAGGTTTGTGAATCTGAGTATGTGGTCGGGGCTGCTAGTTCGCTTAGTGGTACGGGTTCATAGGTGGCGTAGGGTAATCGCTTGTTACCACTAAGATCAAGGGCACTCATGTCGTTTTGCGACACATGGTTTGTGAGTTGATGCGGAAGGTGAGATGAATACAAATTCTGTACATCCATAGAGGAAGACGCTACTACAGGATACATGGAGGCATTTGGTTGGATGGGCACTGATGAATAGCTTGGGAGTCCAGTGTACTTACTGGTTGGAGACGACTGATTATATACAGAGGCATTGTTTTGTAGAAACAGTTTGTTGCGCTCACATGTCCTGTTGACACGGTATGCCTTTAATAGACAGAAGCCGATTAGGAAGAGGAACAGTGTGATTGTGAAGGTGCCCACAACGGCTCCAATCATTTGTAGGGCAGAGAATTGTTTCTGTTGGAAAGAGAATGTAAGATATAGAGCTAAACGGGAGCGAGAATACAGGGATCAACACGTTTAGTTCAACGGTAACGAAATCTCAACTGTTAAGGACAAATACAGCATGTCGGGGAATTGTACACAAAGAGATTGCAGTTCAGATTCCGTGAATCAACACGTAACACTACTGCGAATACGATGTGAAAGCGTAGCTTTTTACTGCATTTCGAGAAAAGTTTTGACGTCCAAGGTTTCAGCCGCATTCCACTGTCAAAATCTTGCAAAAGTCATCAACATTAGTACTCAGAGTATTCCGCTTTCTTTGTACGTCCAGTAAACGCAGAAGCAGAGATGTCTAACAATTTCTCATCACTGACTGAGACAGCCAGAGAGTTCCTGGGGGGTTTCAGACAAGACGAAGTAGGTAACAAACAAAGCTAATCCTCTTTTTGTGAAGCCGTATCCTTTGTGAGTTGAATTGGTTTTTATGTTGTGGTTTGGTATTTTGATGGATGATAGGCCTATAGTAAGTAAAACAACCTAGGAATTCTCTCACTCACTGTTCAACGTCAATGCGTACAGATCACTTGACCAACCATACGCAGATGAAGTTTTGTTCTATAAAGGTATGAGACTTTTAACTGGTCTCTTCTGTATCTTTGACACGGTCCTTCGAATGTGACAAAATGGGGTTTATGCGGTTATTTCGCCCTATTTCACTGGGATTTACGGTTATTTATTGAGCATACACCTTTCCATCATCGTATGAAGATATGAACATCTGCATTCGCGAAATTTAATCAATCTTTACAAGAAATGCCAAAGCTTATTTGAACCGCCCAAATGGCATGACTGGTTGCACTGATGGGCCGAATCAGTGGAACTTGAGTGCTCTTTTTAAGCATTAGCAATCAAAGGTCATCAGCTCATCTGTCCTTTTGCAATCCGCTGTTCAGGATAGACATTCAAACGATGCACACCATTCCCATCGACTCAGCCAATGATTCTGGATATGCGAATTAATCCATCTGTAGGAATAAACGAGTTCTATATGCATGCATCTTGAGTTTCTTCTCACCAATTCGGGTGGTGCTACGGAAAGGCATATATATGTTTCATGAAAACCAGTCACGGTTGGAAGGACCTACGAATTACAACTCAGAACTAAAAAGCTTATGTAGGTTATAGATGAAAGAATCGACCTTTGGGTTCGGTTTACATGCTGTAGCAACTCTCTTGAGCAACTCTGTCTATAGCAACTCTCCTGAGAACATCATAAACGAGAGATTCAGCTGGGTTCCAGGTGAGTCTCTCGAAAGAACCAAATTAGTTTGCAAATGAGTGTATATTCGCTAACTCTCTTTTACATTTGGATGATGAAGACATCGGTTCGATCAGCTATTACATTCCATAGTTCGTACAGTAAGTTTCCATGAAAAGTTCAGCACATTTTCATTGAGTGATTTGTAGCGTAACTGCTAACCTAAAAAGGTGGGCTGGGTTCAGACGAGAAAAAAAATGCTGATTGTCGGTTTGTTCCATGACATCCCAGCCTATGGTGGGCGTCGGATACCGACCGTTTGAGACCGAACTCGGCGGGCCAATCGTTTGTTGCTGCAGCTTTATACGGCTTTATCATGACAGGTTAAGTAGTCTTTGTCGCTGCTGTAACAACGCGCACACCTCGCAGAAACGCGCGCTTACTACACAGTTTACCTATGGATCTCCACACAGCAAATCACAAAAATTTAAGTTCGAAATCAACATTCACCTAATGAAACAAAAAGGTTAGTGCCTTGAGTAAATAATGTCGACTGAAGATCCGTTAATTCCTTATGCAAACTCATTATATCTGTAGCTGTTAGTGAGCAATGCAGAGGTGCTTTATAAGTGGTAATGGATTCAGGGGCATATGTCAATGAAGGATGTTACGAATAGCTTTGGGGTCGTTGGTGCTGCTTGCTTCCTGAAATGGGGTCCACGTGACCCACCCTGTGTTTGGCTAGATACACTGAGAAATATTGCGGCTAACCGATCCCAGTGGTCATCATTGTTTTACATTCCTGGAGGCGTCTGAACCTCGTATGTTCCTGAAAGACCATAAGCCCCCTAAAATGACACATTTATTCACATCGTAAAAGTTTCTTGAAAGTAATTGATACGGACCTACAGCTGCGAAGCATCTGTGCTTTCACCTGGAGTTGCTTCTAATGGTAATGTCTAAGAATGAGGCTAGGATAATATTTTGTACAGAATAAAAATTATAAAATAAAGTGTACAACATACCTGTAGCCAAAATCCATTTGGATCCTCTCCGGTTAGAAGGTACCAATGTGAACGCTCCTCTGTGTTCTGGATCCAACCGTTTTTGTCCGTCTTCTTCTCCTTTTCTAGCTGTGTAGTTTCTGCCATAGGATAACTTTGTTCAACAGGAGAAGTTTGTATGCTCTCTTCTGCATTTTGAGTCGTCACAGGAAGAGGCCAGTGAAGTCGTACCTCAGCGCTGCTGTTTCCACTCAAATCCGAAGCAAAACAAACCAAACGCTCGATTGGGACTATGCCCAGTGCTATACTGTTCTTAAGCGCATTGTTCTGGAAGAGCTGTGGTGAAAATAGTTCCACTTCGGTGACACCTGGTTTATTAGACTTGGAAGACGAAAGTTTCGTCAGATCCTCCTCTGGTCCATGAAGTCCCAGGCGAGACATCATCTGCGAACCGGATCGGCGGTACCAAGCAATCTGTAATTCCGGAGATCCCGACACGTGACAACGCAATGTAACCTTCAGTTCATCTCTTTTGACTGGAGCATTGCCTTTTTGTTGAACCGCTTTCGCGGCTTCTTGGTCCGGTCCATCCACATAGGAAAGATCTATTTCCAAGGTTTGCAAGTTAGGCAAACTACAGTAAAAATCTTGTGCAGTTAGCTTCTCAATCCATCGGCCGGCCAATCTTTCCGGACTACGACATACTGGTTTGAGTAGGTCGCCATCAAGCTGAGTTCCTGGACGTACATCTAATGCTGAGTTGAACGGCCGTCCTGACAAGTGTGTGGAGTCATCGTTAAAAATCGTACCTAATCCACGTCTGTCCCGTTTGACTGACCTTTGTCTTAGGACGTCTGCCAACCAACGTATTTTGCAGTCACAAACAAAAGAATTTTGTTCGATTGATAAGCTTTGTAACACCAAAAAAGTTGGCTCCAAACGACTTTCTAGGCTCATCAGCTTGTTGCCTGATAAGTGCAAGTTTGTTAAAACTCCGTTTTTTAACAATGGCGCCAAGTCCTCATATGAAAGTGTACGGAGGCCACACTGGTTCATTGACAGAGACACGATCGAAGCTTCTTCAAATGCACCAGGCGCCAAACGCAGGCCTTTGTTTTCATCAAGTCGTAAAAATTCCAGCCGTAACCCAGCGAAGGTGTGAGATTCAATGATTTGAATATTATTCTGTGAAAGGTCCAGCTGCGTGAGAGTTTGTAGGGAATGAAAGGCACCAGGTTGTACGCGCTCAACGCCGCAATTTCTTAAAGTAAGGCGCTGTAGTTGTGTGGTCTGATGAGGATAGTTTGAAAAGTTGGCTTTTAGTAGACTACTGCTGTCAAAACGATGGCCAATGAGAATCACGGACTGGATATCGGCAGACAGTTGATCTGGTAGACGAGAAAGGCCACCTTCCTGGCACGAGAGTGAGCCAGCAATACAGCCACTGCACACCTTGCTCAGACATAATTCCCTTGAGCTGAGTGCATTCGCCGGGGGGAAATTCACGACTGAGTTGTAGACCAGGTAGAAGATGCCCACACGAACTGAGAAATGCTCAGACAAATCAAGCATTGATCACAGAGTTATTCTGTACGTCGGAGGATTTCACTCGAAAAGGCTGTATTGAGGGGAGTTGAATATTGATGGTTCCATATTGGTAAGCCGCGCATGATCGCTGAAAGTAATGAAAAAACGGAAAAACCTATTAATCTTCAAAAAAGCCAGTGGGTTTAGGCAGATTGAGCAGAAATGTAGTCCTTAATTTTGAAGCAAGAAACCTCCAAACCACAGCAATTTTTCCAGGAGTTTATATGCAGTCTGACCTAGTTTATCCTTGTTTCATCCATTAGCAGTGGAAATTTTGTTGCAAAAACTTTCGAAGCTGTCGGAGCTATAAAACAGGTACTATATCCCCCTCCTAATATAACGGTATGTGGGAAAGGGCTGCCACACTAAGTTGGGTAAGCCACTTGATTCTCTGCAGTGAATGAAAGCTCGAAAGTTCATATTAATTTATGAGCACAGAGGTCTACAAAAACCCTCCGGATGGGACATGACTCCGTTAAGCTCTCACTGTTGATATTTCTGATTATTGCAGTCAGTTTTACTTTGAAACGGAGGATAACCCCTATGGATATTTGTTAAAAACACGCCAAGGATCCGGTCAGGTGTTGTGTCTGTCATATCCGTCAGGCATGATGTCCAAAAAATTTATATCATATTCTGAACCGTAAACTTCATCATAAGCAGTCATGGACTACTAGAATTGGAATAAACGAGTCACGAAACGAGTAAAAGAAAGTCAGAAGAGTGATTCCAGAAAGACGCATTTGATGACTCTAACTGGATTCATTACTTACGGTTCTCCAGGATGGCATAAAAAAGTCAAATACCCGTCATCTTGCTGGGATGTATTATTTTCCAACATATAAGAACGCCTCTGATGAACATATTTTCATCATAGCTATTACGCACATTTGGGTCACAGGCAGGCAGCCGCCTAAGTCGTAGCTATTACATTCGTCAGTCGGAACATTTATGTGGTGACTCGGTAAGCCAGTGTTCTTTAACTTAGAATAAGTCAGGGCGCCTCAATGTTTTTGAACACACACTTGGCAGGAGGTCGATAGGTTGCGTGTGTGGTACTCCTTCTGCAAACAGTCAATTCAAGAGGTATGATTAGCATATTAATTGAAATCCTTTGTTTTTCTGCCTACCGTGTGTGTCTGCGTTCAAGCATTGCATAGACGTTGCGAATGACAACTGAATCATTGTTCCTTGGGGAACTGTGAAGGAACGTACACAAGACAATTATGAGTTTGAGTTGTGTGGGGTCTGAAGAAAAGAAGCCTCATATAGTCAGGTTCCGTGAGATTGTTGTTGATTGGACAGGTAAATTGTTCACTTGTTTTTAAGGAAAGTAGCAACGTCAATATGAGTTTTTAACCACTGCTTTCTAGGAGCGCAAACAAATGCCATACAGAGAGAGTTATTAATATTCCAATTTAAAAGAAGGACACGTACCTACGTGTTTATCGAATATGATTACACAGTTTCAGAAGTGACCAGGCAAATCGATATTTGTTTTATGAGCTGTTTCGAAGAAACGGTGGCAATGTGAAACAGGATTCGGCAGCTTCTAACATTTTATAGTCCACTAAAAATTATCGAGGACCGGACAATAACATGAACGTAGATGCATAACCTCATACCAAAAACTCTGCTTGTGCAGTCTCCTTTGCCTGCCCGGATGGGAATTGCTCCCCTGAAGCATATTTTCATACTTTCCTGCCAAATTAGTCTGTGGAACACGGCTGCTCCAGAATTCTGAATCAGACTGTCTGTTAACTGGTTCATGTGACTTTTGTTGCATTATTGCCGAAAGGTAACTCAATCCCATTTTAACCTGTTGTGTAGTTTCCATCAAGCAGTGCCTTACCAAACTCAGAATTCACCACACACATATGCACACACAGACAGACGACAATTGATCAAGTGATGCACATTACCGTAAATGTCAAATCCTCAAATCCAAATGAGACAGTGTCTCGGGTGTGTCTCTCACTTGACGTATGGATCGCTTTACAGCGAGAGAACAATTCAACAAATGATTGTTCCAATTCGTGACAGTATGGTCCCAAATCGGCCCTGAGTTTTCTCACTGGGCAGTTAGTATAGTGACCTAAGTGATTGAAATGTAATCATACTTAACCATCATAGTCATGATGTAAAGAGGAAGAAAGCTGTTGAGTGTGCTGTTGTATTCCGGGACCGTTTGTTTACCATTGGCTTCGGTATTGAACAAAACTGCAAGCTGGATCCCAAGCAGGGCGTATTACCACGCGACGCCAGCAGCCAATCGGTCCACATTGGCCGCACAAATGGGACTTCTTTTACTGGATCGCGCGTATGTTTTTCCGTAGCTTCGGTTATTATTCCTACAATTTTGAGTGCATCGACAGTCCTCTTGGTCTCGTACACGGAAGACGACACATTAAACTGTACACTCTCATTACGCAGATTTATTGAGTTACCGACTGTTTTAGTCTCAATGAAAATATCATTCAGTTAGACACCGTGCACTGAACACTTTTACTTTCTCGGACAACTTGCAACTTTTTTGCGTTGATATAATTTACCGACTCGGTAGAAATAAACACGCCTGAGGGGTTGGATTTCTTTCCAACATTAGTTGGTTGCACGTGTGCGTGTTATAGGGCCTAAGGGAAAGTTATGAACCAAAATAAAAACCTGGTGCAAGAGGGTACGGAAATATCCAGTAAATCTGTGAAAAAAAACACGGAATCACTCATAGTAATCTGGCAAGCGTAAACAAAACTTTTGGACTCCAACGTAGTTGCTTTTTAAATATGTACAACTGGACCTGCAAGGCAAAACCTCAACGGAGGCAGCTATTGGCGAACTAGCTGTTCACCACGATCCTTATTTCACTGTGTTATTTCTTTTCAGAATTCCTATTTAAAATCTGGGAAGGTAGGAGTTGTGTGACATGTTTTTGTTTGAATTCACAGATAGTTTACCTGGCCATTCATGACGCGTTAACCTAATGAACACCGGCCCAGTTTCGTGAAACAGGATCGGTTGGCATCAGTTATAGTGTGACGCGTAATTTTCAGAGTGTGAATTCATCTGATAATCGATACATGTGACTTTCGATATCAATGGGCTTGACTGGCTTCTCTAAATCCTAGTACATGATATGCACCATAACGTGGGGTTTAGTTTCGGATACCAGAAAACTAAATAGGTATTGTGTTCACTAATGTATATTCCCAAAACGTTTATTTTCTGCTGAAAGGATTGTAAGACCTCTCTGAAGACTTCCTCAGTACAATCATTTAAACTGAAGTACACAGTTGGTCATTTTGGACCCGTTTTATCAGTTGATAGTAGTTTTGTTGGGAAAAATCACAACAAAATGGCATGGAAAGCCATAGAAGTTGTTTTTACCTGAAAAAAAGCGCCGAAGGTGGGAAAACTCAACCTGGATTAGTCGTGGCGAGAAAAACCTTAGGAATGACTGAAAGATCGAAAGCTTCGAGAAACTGATCAGTTTATGGCAATCTTCATGTAGCACTACGAAAGGCAGAAGAAATAGGCATGTAAAATGAAACGCGACGAAATCAAAAAAAGTGCAGTTCATCTCCAATACAAGTGGAGGTCATTTCCGTGAAAACTTGTGCATTTTAATAGGGCTGAAAAGTATACCTCTATCCAAGATAGAAAGCATTTTTGTTGAACAGGACACAACAATATATATATATATATATATACTGAAATACAATTTTTTCGTATATTTCTACGACTGGAAACCACATTAGGGTTCCATTTCAAGGACGACGTTGAAATGATATAAAATGTATTGATCACCAGTTTGTTAGTCTCGATTTTGGAATGAGATGGAAATTCCAGAATCCTAATTCATACAGCTTTCTATCAAAATTGTTCCTTGCCCGAAAGATGACAGCTCGCCCTCCTTTCTGCTATCAACGCAAGAAGCTAAAAACATTTACCAAACCAGACAGTCCAACGTGAATGGGGATTGTAGGTCAGGACGCATCCATGCTAAGTTGGAGTGGGAGAAACATTTATGAATAATTCACGTATTACCGGTGACAGTTTCCTTACCCGCCTGACTGATTGTTTACATATGCACTCCCAGAAACACACCCACACATCGAAATAACAGAGACTATAAACGCACACAAACGACATTTGAATTGAAAAGACCCTCTTCAAATAAATTATCCATCAATCGCAATTGAAAATTGAAAGCCAGTCTGCCCGAAGATGAGAAAGGCAATTTATCCGGTCATTTGGGATTGATATGTTGAGCGGGGGAAGAACAGAAGGGAGAAGGCAAGAGAAACGAGTAAATCGTTTGTCCACAACCGATCCGTTCCGGCGTGTGCTTGGCAAATGCATGGGTTGCAAGAATCAGAAATAAAACAGGAGAATTCCTGCTTTCTATGGAAAACAGAATAGGAGTTAGGTGATTGAAATGGGAAAACATAAGTTGTTGTTGTGGCTAGCTATCGAAGGCCCAAATGACTAATAATGCAGCGTCATGTGTTTCCACACCAAAACTCGGGCTGCGCTCACTTTCTACGAGTGGGTGATTTCTTGCCTTTGAGGTTTCTCAAAAATTCAGCTTCAGGGGAAATTGCGAGAAAAACAAAAATAGAGAGACAAGGTGTCTTTGTGTCCCACTGCGGTCGTATTCGGATTCTGATTAGCTTACAGATGCTTGAAAATTAACCCATAGCTATGGATCAGCACTGTTATAGAGATGTATGTAACCGGTATAACTGATTCAACTCGGTAACAGACTAAAAAACTAAGGGGGCTTGCCATTCAACAAGACTGGCTGGTGTGGCTTATAGCAAACCCCAGGTGAACGTTTTCAATAACTAAGCTACGGGAATAATTTTTTTTCTACAGAGATCTCCTGTGCTGTTCACCTGAATTTCGTTCCGGAAACGGAGTAACTTGATAGTGAGCTGCTGAAAATTTAGCTCCCGAAGGAGCGTGCCTCCGATTCGACTACACCTTTCCATTTTTATGTTGGAGTGCAAAATTTCAGTGTACGATAAACTTCGACTGCATTCAGCCTGGTGTCAGTCTGCTCAACCAACCTTTTCTATTTTTCAGCTC